GTGGTATTACTGGGTCTTGAGGAAGGTTGTTTCCTAATTTTCTGAGAAATCGCCACACTGACATCCAAAGGGGTTGTACCAGCTTGCATTCCCACCAGCAATGCAGAAGTGTTCCCTTTTCCCCACAACCTCTCCAGCATAAGTTGTCATTAGTATTTTTGATTTTGGACATTCTTACAGGTGTAAGATGGAATCTCAGTTGTTTTGATTTGCATTTCTCTGATGACTAAGGATGCTGAACATTTCCTTAAGTGTCTTTCAGCCATTTTAGATTCCTCTGTTGAGAGTTCTGTTTAGGTCTGTACTCAAGACAGGGTTTCTTATGTAACAGCTCTGGCTGTCCTGGAACTCAATTTGTAGACCATGCTGGCCTTGAGTTCACCTGCATTTGCCTCCTGAGTGCTAGGATTAAAGGCATGTGCTGCCACCACCAGTACTGGGCTCCTTTTTAAACTTTTTAATGTGTCTTCCCTATAATCTTTGTGCCATTAGGCCTTCTAGAAGAATATTAAGGGGCCTAATATAGGATAAGCCTTTAGAGCAGTGGTTCTCAACCTTCCTAACGCTGCAAACCTTAATACAGTTCCTCATGGTGTGGTGACCCCCAGCCATAAAATTATTTTCATTGCTACATAATAACTATGATTTTGCTACTGTTAAGAATCATAATGTAGGGGGCTGGAGAGGTGGCTTAGAAGTTAAGAGCATTGCCTGCTCTTCCAAATGTCCTGAGTTCAATTCCCAGCAACCACATGGTGGCTTATAACCATCTGTAGTGGGGGTCTGGTGCCCATTACATACACACAGACAGAATATTATATACATAATAAATAAATTAAAAAGAATCATAATGTAAATATTTCTGGAGATAGAAGTTGTCAGAGGGGTCTGACCACAGGTTGAGCACTGCTGCTTTAGAAGAAAATGCTTGCCATGTTCTGATAAATTGGCTTATTGGCAAAATCAGTTATCAACAATTACTTTTTCTTTTGAGACAGGGTTTCCCTGGCTGTTCTGAATCTCATGTTGTAGACCAGGCTGGCCTTGAATTCACAGAGATCTACCTGCTTCTGCCTCCTGAGTGCCGGGATTAAAGTCACCACGCCTGGTTATCCTTCCATGCCCTTGACAGCTGTAGTCCTGTTTTAGTTTGTACATCCAGAATCATGAGTTTTGTTAGTATGTTTTCACAAATATGTAGCACATCTTTTGTTCATATTCAAACCCCTTCATTACTCTAAAGTTTTTTTTTTCTAGTTTCTGAGTGTTTTGCACTTGAGAATGTGTGCATGCCATGGTTGAGCCATCTTGCTGGCCCAGCTGTAAAGTTTCTGAGTAACCTGAAAAGGTCCTCAACTAAAGCACAGTACATTAAGATTTTGTTTTGGGGTCTATCCTCCTATTCCCACAGGCTGATTTCATTGGGAAGTCATTCAGCCTATTGGGCAGCACTAACTTAAAGCTTCATTTGCAGGGATGCTGAAGATGCAATTTATGGAAGAAATGGTTATGATTATGGCCAGTGTCGACTTCGTGTGGAATTCCCCAGGACTTTCGGAGGTCGGGGTGGGTGGCCCCGTGGCGCAAGGAATGGGCCTCCTACAAGACGATCTGATTTCCGAGTTCTTGTTTCAGGTATGTTCTTATCACAATGAGTGAAATGGTGCATGCATGCTACCTCTAAGAAAAATTAGCTATTATTCAGTACATGGTATATGTTAGCTTTTTAGTACTCAGTGCACATGGACAGTCTAAAGCTTTGTTCTAGTTTTTTCAGGGAGGCAGGTACCATACAAATGAAATTGTATAAATAATGCAGCCTTGTAGGACAGAAACTGTTTCTTTTTTGTTTTCAGACAAGGTCCCTATGTAGTCTTGGCTATCCTGGAACTCACAAGACCAGGTTGGCCTTGAATTCACAGAGATCCGCCTGCCTCTGCCTCCCGAGTGCACAGCATGATAAACATGTTTCTTTTAAAGTGGTTTCTTACTGGTGAGGGGCAAAATGATGACAAAACCTTTGACCTATAATTCTAAAAATGTTTATCTTTGGGAATATTCCTTGGTATCTGGCTTTATAGACATCACAGGAGCCAGATTCAAACAACTTAAAATTTGGGGGATTGTATTGGAAAACACAGAACATTTGTAATTGGTGTCAGCGAATGATGGATGAAATGCTAAGCTCAGAAGTTTATGTGTCTTTAAAATACCAATGCAGTGTTAAGGTCTGGGGCCCTCTGCATATTGCAGGGAAGTCTGGTGGCCCTAGTGGAGTGAAATGCATTGAGCCCGCTGCCTTTTAAAGTGTGAATGTCCCACAATCACGGTAGTGCATAGAGTGATGGTATCTGTCTATCTTGTGTCCCTTTGTAATTTTTTAACCCTAGGACTCTATTCCCTCCTTCAAGATGTCATACATTATCTTTTTTTCTCTCCATGCTGCTCTGAAATCCTGCTTAGAAAACTATTAGGAAATGGCTGCAGTCCTGAGCTGTGCGCGGTAAACACAGCCTTTGAGAGCAAGAGCACATTTCCCTTTCATGACATCAGGTAGGGTTGTATGACTCCCAACTAGTTTTAGCGTCTGAGTGTTACCTTTCCCCAACTGTAGTGAGGCATGTTGGTGCTCTCTTACGAGGTACTTTGTGGTCTGTCAACCGTTCATGATAATAGAAAACAAACTTTGGTTTCTGTTGATGGCTGTTCCCTTAGCTGCACTTGATTTGTTTCAAACGTCTCATATCATGGGAAAATAAGTTCAGCAAGAAATACTTGGTACTAATAAATCTTATAAGGAAAAAAAAACAATTCAATTTGGGGAGTGTCACATTGATTGTGAAGGACAGAATGGTAAATTCTCAGAGGTTGTAAGCCTGTAATAGGATGCTTTTGTTGGGAAACGTTGGTCTCTGGACAGTTAACCTAGCTTTTCACAGTGGTTTACCATATATACTTCAAGTAATTTTTCTGGTTTTGTGCCCCTTTAAAGGATTTGTGACTTGGGAACCCTTAAAAATAAAGTGATCCACAGAGTATAGATCATCATAGGTATTGCTAGTGCCTAACAGGGCAGTTAATGTGGCTGACGGGTGTGGCTCTTCTCTTACATTGTCTGTACCTAGGACTTCCTCCATCAGGCAGCTGGCAGGACCTGAAAGATCACATGCGTGAAGCTGGGGATGTCTGTTATGCAGATGTACAAAAAGATGGAATGGGGATGGTTGAATATCTGAGAAAAGAAGACATGGAATACGCTCTGCGTAAATTGGATGACACAAAATTCCGCTCTCACGAGGTGGGTTCTTACCTTCTATTAAGTCTAATTTAGCAATATTAGCCTTTGCCATTTGATGACTTCACAGTACCATAAAGATCTATTTACAGGGGCTGGAGAGATGGCTCCAGCCCTCACAACTAACTCTAACACCAGTTCCAGAGTACCTGTATGACACCCTCATATAGACACATGCAAGCAAAACACCAATACACATAAATTAAAAATTAAAGGGGGTGTTTGCTATTCCTAAGTCTTGCAAGGTCAGAGCAGGGAGAAGTATGCATTTGTTTATCTTGATTTTTTTCCTTTTTGAAATGGAAGAGTAAGGGTACTTACCTCCAAATAGCATTGTGCAGGTGTAGTAACATCACAGGATCAGGCATGCAGTACGTGGGGCTGTGAGCCAGGTTAGAGGTCATCAGCTTTGCTTACTATTCTTATACTTTACTCTTTTCTTTTCTGTTTGTTCCAATTTCAGGGGGAAACTTCATACATCCGAGTTTATCCTGAGAGGAGCACCAGCTATGGCTACTCACGGTCCCGGTCTGGGTCCAGGGGCCGTGATTCTCCGTACCAAAGCAGGGGCTCTCCACACTACTTCTCTCCTTTCAGGCCTTACTGAGGAAGGGAGTGGGAAGTTTTTCTATTTTTTAGCTGCCCTGAGCTGCTTTGTGCTCAGAATCTACATTCCAAATTGATAATTTAGTGTCTTAGAAGATTTTCTAATTTCTTTCTTTCTTTTTTATTTTCTTTTTCTTTTTTAAGGAACTACATAATTTCAACCAGGGCCACCATACTAGCAGTGAAATGTTTTAGACTGCAGAAATAGAAATTGTGGCTCTGGTTCAGAACAAGTTGTATATTTTTCACCCCTGATTATGGGATAGAAATCAGTGCTGCATCTTTGTGGGCTGCTCTGCTCTAGAGATCAGCAGTTACGACGACTGAGTCGCTCATTTTGTTGAGAAATATATTTTAAATGTTTAGTAATTGGTGTGTGGTTATCTCTGAGTAAGCACATAGGTTTCCCCTAACAGGTCCTCTGCGTTGTCACAGCAGTTTGTCAGGAGCAGAAACGATACATTGCTGGGGTAATGGTGATGGTCTCAAAATTTCAACATCAAGGGCAGATTCTGTATTTTTTTAAGATTGATACTTATGTGTATACTACATGTGTGTTCATGCTCATTGAGGCCGCAGAGGCCTTGTAGACCTGGAACTGGAGTCACAGGGGGTTGTTGGGTCACCCTGAGTTGACTCCAGTCAGACAGGAGACTAGGGAGGGCTGCGGTTTTTTGTTTTTGTTTTTTTAAATTTTAAAGTCAGGATTTCTTTGTGTAATCCTGGCTGTTCTGGATCTCACTCTGTAGATCAGGCTGACCTCAAACTCAGAGAGATCCATCTGCCTCTGCCTCTCAAGTGCTGGATTTAAAGACCTATGCCACAACACTGATGTAGGAAGAAGTTCTCTTAACCACTGAGCCATCTCTAACCCAAATTCAGAGTTTTTATAATTCAGAGCCGACATTGTAAATGAAACTGCCTGTAAAAGAGGTTCACTGAGGTGATTCATGCCTCTAATCCCTGTACTCGAGAGAGACCGTGGAAGAAGGCTGTGTGTTCAAGGCCACCCTATCTGAACAACACAAAAGGTGTCTGTATCAGCATGTGAGAACATCACAGATAAAGGGAAGAGGAAGAATGAAAACAAGCCCAAGGCTATTTTTAACAAGTTCTTTTTTCAGAAAGGAACTCTTTGGCTGGTGTTCATAGATACTGTGTGTGGGGAGGGGGTCAGGTGTTCATAGACACATTGTGGGAAGGGGGTCAGGTGTTCATAGACACAGTGTGGGGAGGGGTATTGCCACTTTCTGAGAAAGGAAGATGGTTCTAAATCAGGAGTTCCCAGGCTGTAGCTTACTTTGACACTACTCAAACATTTCTATAAAACGAGTCTTCTGGTAGGAATAAAGTAGGTACAGAGGAACACATGAAGATGGTTGGCTGCTCAAGTCAGTGGAAAAGCAACTAAAAATAACTTTTGTCACCTGGTCACGGGTAATCTATCTTCTAAGTATAAACAGAAAAATTCACATACATACATTTTGATAGTGTTTTTTAGGAGATGAAGGAAGATGTTTTCCATATAGAACAGGCCTGTGAGTACTTGATCCATATCCTTGGAAGCAGGCTTGTGGTGCCTGCTATTAGCTGGCTATTTTCCAGTTCTGTCCTCAGAACAGTTACCAAGAAATCATAAATGTCCGGTTTACACAAGATTTCAGAGTAGCAATGACCACCCTGTGAGTACACCATCTTGATAGGGTTCCCCTTCCCCAGAATAGCTATTCTGCTGTGGGAGAAGGGATCCTGTTTACCATGTCTGGCAAAGAAATATTACCTGTTTGAAAACAAGAAAGAATATTTTAGTTGAACCTGCTGTTCCTCTGGCCCTCCTAAACTAATGGTCACTTGGTTTTCATGGGAAACAATGGAAGTAGGTGTTAATGCCATCCTTTTCCACAGCTCTCAGGTTTCAGTAACAGTTCAAAGTGAAGCCAAACCCACACCTTCCAGTGCACAGAGGCAAGCTGTATATAACCAGGCACATATACGCAGGTAGAAATGGAAGACTAAGAATGAACCATTGCCTAGAATCCAAGTCTGGAGCAAGGTTCTATCTGTGTAATATGATCATAGATATATCTGATGAAATAGTATATAAAAGTCTTTTCTCTTTAGCTAGCTGAGGCAAATATGGCACAGTTAAGAGTTTAATCCACAGGCAGGGGTGCACACCTTTGATCCCAGCACTTAGGCAGAGGCAGGTGGATTTCTGTGAGTTCCAAGGCTAGCCTGGTCTAAAAATTGAGTTCCAGGACAGCCAGAGCTGTTATATAGAGAAACCCTGTCTCAAAAAACCAAGAGAAAAAAATTGAACTCATAAATATGTTAGCTTCATTAGCCAGAGCTTTACTTGTTAGCTGCCTGGTGTTTGCGTCTGCTTTGGAGGCTGAAAACTCAACATAGGAGACAAAAGGTCATGCTGCCCGAGCTTCCATTTTAAGTGTGTATAGTGAAGTTGGAAACGCAGTTGCTACAACAGGGATTACAAACCACGGCTGAGATACATATAGCTTATAGGTATGTTTCAGCTGGCCTACGTGACATGTTAATTTTTCTTATTTGAGATGGTTACCAATACAAGTTGAGGAAATATCAGACAAAAAGTTTTCCAAGCAAATTGGCTCAGGTTCCTCTGGCACCAGAGCACCAGAAAATGCCAGCTGTTCCTAAAGACAGGGCCCAGGCCCAGGGAAATACGCTGTCTGTTGCACATACGCCTTAGTCCTTTCTGCATTGCGCTTTCATTACTGACTGGCCCTGAAAGGTAAGTGTGACTCCTGGGCTACTGTCATCACAGCACCGCTTGTGTGCAGTTTATCCTTTTGTGTTCAGATAGTGTTTATCTTCATGAGCATGTCTGAACCACTCTGTTCTACCCTGGGTAACACATACCTGGGGGGGCCACAAAATACTCCTCCACAACGTGATTGGAGTTCTGTAGTAGTTCTTCAGCACAATTGCCTTCTGCTACATTGTCAGATCTCAGGTACAGACATCTGCAAAACCCAAAGGTTGGAGTTACATTTTGAGGGAATTGAGGCTTCTAGAGCACAGAGAGGATCAATAAGGAGGGTAAAGGGGAGCAAAACAGTCTGCTGTAATTACCATCCCCAGGTAGGGGTGCTGCCTGCAGTTTGTAGGTGCTCATGGTTACTGAACTGTAATTATTCCCTGGTTTGATTAACAAATCTTGGATAATTAATATGAGTAGGTTAATTTTGGTGAAGTAAATGAAAGGGCAATTATGATACAATTGTATTAAATCTGGGCTGGAGATATGTCTCAGTGGTTAGATGCACTGACTAATCTTCCCGAGGACTCATGTTTGGTTCCTAGCACCTACATGGTGACTCACAACCACTTATAACTCCAGTTCCAGGGGATCTGATGCACTGCACACACACTGTGCATATTCAGGCACACACATACACAAAATATTTTAAAACAAGCAAAATATGTCAAAGGACTAACAAATGTCCCAAACCCTGCTTCAGTGAGAAGCATGTACTCAAGAATCCGTGATGTCACCGCCAAAGACTTAGCAGATGCAGCATGAATCCCATACAAGAGAACACAACTAATTCAGTGGCAGTAAGTTAGCAGTACCCTTAAGGTGAATGCTTTTTTTTTTTAAACTACAGCCACCTAGGGAGATGCCTGTCACTAAGCAAGATGCACTGAACAGTCACATTAGGTGGTACATGCCAATAATCCTTGCACTTAAGTAGTTTAAGGCTAGTGCCTACACAGGCTTTGCCTCTAAGATACATCACAAAGAGATTATGAATCTCTTGTTCTCTAGACATAGCAGCTTCTCTAAAATACGTGTATATAGTGCCTCTAAAGTATGTAGACTGCTTAGTGGGTCAAAGCACTTGCCACCTAGCTGGAAAGAGAACGGACTCCTGGATTCCCATAGGTTGTCCTCTGTCCTCCTCCACTTGTACACGGTGGTGCACAGCTTTAATTACAGCATTCAGGGGGCAGACACACGTGTGAGTTCGAGGCCAGTCTACATACTAAGTGCAAGGTCAGCCAGGGCTAAGATTCTGTCTTAAAAAAATTCAAGTAAAACATCTGCATTACAAACCAGTGAAATTAAACAGCGATACAATCAAGCAGTTTCGCACTGATTTCAAAACAAAGTGCTTTATAAGAGCCAGCCTGTTTCTAGATACTCATTAAAAATGAAGGAGTCTCTAATACCTTTAAGATGGGAGGCAGAGGCTGGTGGACCTCTGAGTTCAAGGTCAGCCTGGTCTACAGAACAGCTACCTGAGAAATCCCGTCTCATAACAGTAAAAAGGACTCTGAAATCACTGGCAAAGGGGAGTTAACCCTAGGAGAAGCACCAACATAAAATGAGACATTGTCATTCACGTTAAGAGAATGGAGGGTTGGAATTGGCTCTAGGATCCACACTTGTCTGGCTGATTGTGGTTTTTCCACACTATATATTCTAGGCTGGCCTCAAAACTCTTCATCCTTCTGCCTCTGCCTCCTGAATGAATGTGTTACTATAACACCCCACCTCACCCCAGAAGCCCAAAGTATGTTAACTGTGGCCTTAAAATGGAGTAATCTTCCAAGACCTTAGTTTCTTTACACAAAGTGAAGGTTGCACTTCCATGGCCTTTGTCTTTGCTTGAGACAGGGCCTCACCATGCAGTCCTGGCTAGCAAGAACTCATTATGTAGATTAGGCTGGCCTCAAATTTACCGAGATCTTCCTACACTAGCCTCCTGAGTGCTGGGAATAAAAGCATGAGACACCATGCCCAGCTAACTCTGTTTTGGTTATTTTGTTTGTTTGTTTTGAGACAGGGTTTCTCTAAATAACAGCCCTGGAACTTACTTTATAGACCAGGCTGGTGGCCTTGAACTCATAGAGATCCACCTACCCCTGGCTCCCGAGTGCTGGAATCACACATGTGTGACCACTACATGGCTTGTGTGTTTTTTAGACGGTTTCTCTGTGTAGTCTTAGCTGTCCTGGAAATTGCTGTGTAGAGTAGCCTGGTCTACATAATGAGTAAATCTACATAACTCAGAGATCTCCCTGCCTCTGCTTCCTGAGTGCTGGGATTGTATTTTTAGGGGAAAAAAATAGGTGCTGGGGTTGTATGTCAGTGGTATAGTGATAGCTTCGTATGTGTGAGGCACACTCCTTTAATTCCAGCACCTGAGAGATAGAGACAAGCAGATCTCTGAGTTTGAGGCCAACCTGGTCTACAGAGAGAGTTCCAGGATGGCCAGGACTACACAGAGAAACCCTGTCTCAGAAAAACAAAAAAACAAACAAACAAAAAAAGAAAACAAAGGTGGGGGGGTAGTGAAAATGGCTCAGGTAAAAGTTCTCTTTGATCCCTTGGACCCAAATGGAAGAAACCAACTCCCCTCCACACATGTGCTACGACACGGACGGACATGACAGCAGTGGACCCTTATTCTTAAGCAGCTCCAGAATTTGAAACACTAAACAGGCCTGGATGACTTTGAGGAAGAGTTTTATTTTATTTGATTTTGGTAGTGGTGAGGAATCTACCAAGGACTTCATTCTTACTGGCTTTTGGAGCATTTGTTTAGAAGTCTTTAAAAATTATTTTTAATTACGTATATGTGAGGGGTCTGTGTATGTGAATACCAGTGCCTTCGGAGGCCTTGGAGCTGGAGTTATGCGTGGCTGTAAGCCACCTGGTATGGGTGTTGGGGCTCAGCTTGGGTCCTTTGCAGGAGCAACAGCAGATATTCTTAACTGCTAAGCCAACTCTTGGCCCCTATTTGTATTTTAGAAGCAGGGTCTTCTTCAATATCACAGGCTGAACTCAAACTTGTGTTAGTCCTGCCTGAGCATCCCAAGCCCTACAATTTATGGTTGTAAGTCACCATGACCAGTTTCAGGCCAACTATTACTAAGTATCTACCTCACCTGTCTTCCTGCACCAGGCGTCTACAGGATGAGTGAGTTTCAATGCTCCAAGACACTCACTTCTATAACCAGTCTTTCCTCAGCAGCCAGGCCAGTGGTTCTCAACCTGTGGGCCACAGCCCCTACAGAGGTCGCATATCAGATGTTTATGATTCATAACAGCGCAAAATTACAGCTACAAAATAGTAATGAAAATAATTTTATGGTTGGGGTTTACCACAACATGAGGAACTGTATTCAAGGGTTGCGGCATTAGTAAGGTTGAGAACCACTGATCTAAGCAGAGAAATGAGATTCAAGTAGTATATTGTGATTAATAACTCCTTTGAATACCACTAGAACCGTAAAGAATGTAATTGTATAAAGGAATGGACATTTAATGGCAGGTGACAGCTTGAGAAGAAAGGGAAATAAATAGGAGAAAAGCAGGTGGGATATAGAGCCAGTTAAAGCAAGAGCTGAGAATTGTGAGGGAAAAAGTAACAGAGAGAGAGAACTCAAGAAGCTGAGAGAACATGACAGTGCTGGTGAAATGGGCCATGAAGAAACTTCCTTTTGGCTTCATTAGAAGCAGTGGCACATGGGATCAGGTTTCTGTTGTGAAGTGCTGGGTAACACTAGGCATATGGTGTAAACCTCTTTGGACCTGAGCTTCAGATCAAAGACCTGAAGGAACCAAAGACTGGAAGGTAAGAAGAACAGGAGACTAACAAGGCTCAAATTCTGCAGAAGCACTTCACATAAAGGTCATGGTTTCAGATATGGCTCTCTGTTGTTACTGAGGGGACTAGAAAGATTGCCCAGTGGTTAGCACTGCTCAGTCTTCCAGGGCATACCCACATGGTGGCTTACAATCACCTGTAACTCTAGTTCCAATGACTCCCACACCCTGTTCTGTACCAGATATGTGGCGTATGGCGTACAAGAAACCCAAACATTCATACACGCAGATTAGTAAAAAGAAACAAATAAAAAAACCCAAAACACTTTTAAGCCAAGAATGATAACTCATACCTATAAGCCCAAAATTTGAGAAACCGGGCAAGGACTGCCGCCAAGTTTGAGGCCAGCCTGGGATACGTAAGCATGATGGTTGCTCAACAACCTATAATCCCAGCACTTGGAAGGTGGAGGTCTGACGAGGATCAGTAATTCAAGGTCATCCTCAGCTTGCCTGGTTTATATAAAACCCTGTCTCAAAAGAAGTAAATAATGAAACAAATGCTGGGTGCGGTGATACAGACCTACAGACATTAGTACTGAGGAGGCAGCCAATATTGGTTAAAGCTAGCTCGTGCCTGTATACCCAGACTCTTGTTCCAAATATAGATGACAGGGGCTGGAGAGATGGCTCAGTGGTTAAGAGCACTGGCTGCTCTTCCAGAGGTCATGAGTTCAATTCCCAGCAACCACATGGTGGCTCACAGCCATCTGTAATGAGATCTGGTGCCCTCTTCTGGCGTGTGGGTATACATGGAGGCAGAATGTTGTATACATAATAAATAAATAAATAATCTTTAAAAAATTAGATGACACAGCTTATATGTTATTTGGATATGCCATATTAGTACATAAACTGATTGGAGAAGGTCTCCAAAATATATAATAGTATTTAATTCTTTCAGATATTTAATCTGATGCGCAGGTCGACAAGTGCAAACACTTTTGCAGGAAATGAGCTTAGCTTGCTGAGAAAAAGTTATGGAAGCCAATACAAGCTGGAGGGTACTGAGGGAACAGTACATCCGAGTGGATGAGCAGGGGCTCCAAGGAGCAGGGATTCGAAAGCGATGACTAACAAGCAGCTCGAATTTTGTTTCTATTTACACCGAGACTAGAAAGGCTAGAGGATTCTAAACGGGAATAACATGATATATAATGAACTAGGGGAAGGGAGAAGACGTCCTTGTGACTGGGCAAATTCCCAATCATGCAAAGGACACTGAAAGGACCTGAAACAGCCTCGAAGGTGCCCTGGGTCTCCTGGAAGACCTCTAGGCCGCAAACGGGAGTTTACCTGTTCTCCAGTACTGACTCCAGGGGTTCCACCCCGTCGGTGTCCACGGCCTGCAGCTGCTCAGCGAAGGCGATGGCTTTCTCCAACCGGGCCACTGCCTCGCGGCTGCCGAAGTTTACCAGCGCCAGACGCTCCAGATGCTCTATTTTCTCGGTGGGCACGCGGCCACTGCCCTGCAGGGCAAGGGATGGAGTGCCGGTCCCCTGCCCCGCCGCCTGGACCTGTCCCTGTGGGCTCGCTTTGGAAGCAAAGCCTCGGCCCCGATCCGGCGCAGCCCGAAAACGTACCCACATCGCCCGTGCCCACATTTCTTTGCTTCTCGACCGCCGTAGTGACGAAGACGGAGCGACGCGCACTCTAATGACGACATTAGAGTGTGCCGCGGTCGCCGTCGCAGCAGCCGCCATCGCCATGAACAGCGTCGGAGAGGCTTGCACTGATATGAAGCGCGAGTACGACCAATGCTTCAATCGCTGGTTTGCCGAGAAGTTCCTCAAAGGGGAAGGCTCCGGGGACCCGTGCACCGACCTCTTCAAACGCTACCAACAGTGTGTCCAGGTGAGTCTCGCCGCAGACCCGCCGCAGACGCTGCTGCAACCATCCCACCGACTGGCCCGGGTGTCTCTCCATTTGACACACGGGGATGTTTTTGCGGTGCTTTGCTTTCTACGGAGTACGGTAGCATCTCCTGGTTCATTTATTTGGTGCTTATTCTAAACTTGCAAAGTAGCCGTAGTTATTCGTATCTTAAAAAATGTGTGTCTGGGTGCGCGATCAGGACAACTTACCGGAGTCAGTTTTCTCCTTCCACATTTGTATGGGCTCTGGGGATCGAGTTCGAGTTCCCAGGCTTGGCGCAAGACCTTCTATTATCTGTGTCTTACAGATGGAAAACTAGCACACTGAAGTAGTAACTGGTTCAAATGTACTAGCGTCTGGTGACCTTGATTATTTTGTTGGGGGCTCAGCCTTTCATTGTTTTTATAAGTGGATGATCACTGTTTTCTAGACGGTTGCATTGAGGTGGCCCCCATTGTTTGGTTATGATCTCTTTAGCCCTATTTTTCTCCACCAGTTTACAGTTGCAGCTAGTTAGATTTGATTCCAGATCAGTAGGTACACTTTCACTAACTTAACCTAAAACATCCTCTCAATTTCAGGAACGATTTTTAGCCGATTCTCAGGCAGCAAAGGTGACTCAGAGTCACGTACCTACTGGTACTGAAATAGATTTGAACACTGTCGCTAAGATAAAGCAGTGGCCTCTGCCTCCCAAGAGCAGGTGTGCACTCCACATAGGCCCTACCCTCTTTACAGTGTTACTTCTTTGTTGAAACAGTACTGGGTGTGGTGGTCCACACCTTTACCCAGGAGTGTGAATCCGAGGCTAGCCAGGGCTACACACTGACACCACATCTCAGAGAGTGCTCCTTAAATTATGGGTTTCAAGGCTTTCTAGTTCACTTTGGTGCCATTACACTGCAGCTACAAAACATTGACTTCAAGCTTTCATAGACTTCTCTAATTCATTTTGTTCTTCTCTCAGAAAGCAATAAAGGAGAAAGAGATTCCTATAGAAGGACTGGAGTTCATGGGCCATGGCAAAGAAAAGTCTGAAAACTCCTCTTGACCTGCCTGTCACTTGGAAGATGTAGGTAAATTGAGAGGCCTCTGGGTTTTGTCAGCTAAGGCAGTGAAGCCAGCCATGGGATTCAAGGAGTTTAAGAGGAGATTTTGCTTCTTCTTGGTATTCTCCTCTCACTTCTAAAAGAGCAGCTCTCACTTTTGCTTTGAGACAATCTCACTTTTGCTGGCATCTTACAGGATCTCCGTGTGCTACATTGAAACAGCTTCTTGGGGTTTTGGTTACAATACATGGTTTGGAATCAGCTTTAACTAATCTTGAATGTAAATAATGATAAACTGGTCATGATCAAGGTTGCTGGACAGCTTTGCTGCAGAGGACTACCCGGGAGTCACTGTTCGTGAGTACAGTTGGTCCAGACCGCCTTTCCCTCTCGGGAGCTACTGCCCTGACTGCCCTGAAAGGGATCGGACACAACAGCTTCAGTCCCTGCTGCTGGCGGCCTGGGCTAGCCAAGAAGACAGCTTTACTCAGCTCCTGCCTTAACAAGGTGTCAGAACAACAAGTGAAAGCTTCAGAAATGACATAAACGTCACTTTGGAGCTCACAGCCCCACTCATAGCTCCAGCACCTGGAGTGGCTGTGGAAGAATTGCAGCTTTGCTATTGCCAACTTTCAACTCCATGAATTAATGTCAGTCTGCACATCATATAAAAGGCATCTGGCTAAGTTAGGGAAAGGTGCTTACTTGTTTGCCTACCGTGCCCTAAGTCTGTAATCATGAAAATGGAATAAATTCTAAAATTCAGATTTAACTCATTGTCCCCGAAACTGTGTACTTTTTAGAACACTTACTACCCCGTTGCCCAGTGTATCTCATTATGTTGCAGAGAGCAGGCTCTGCTTCATAACTTGATGATTTGTTTAAGCCTAGGTGGTTGATGCAGCACATGGGTCAGGGATCTGACATCCAGCCTGTCCTCTTGCCTGTCCTCAGCTTGCTGAGATTGCACATATGCACTGTGATACCCACCTTATATAAATAACTTCTTTAAATTAGTATGCATTGTAGTTCCAAAACAATTCCATGTAGTCCTCACACCTCCCTAAACTCAGAATTTAGTATATCCCTAAAGACAGAATGAAAGCTGATTTAGAGGGCTGACATCTGTTTTCTGTGTTACTAATTATTACTTCATTTTAATTTGACAGACCCTAATGCCATTTCAGACATTTTACACTTACATTTTAAAAAAGATATGGATGTAAAAAATATTCATATTTTTCAACTGGTTAAGGGTCATTGCCCAAAAGATCACAGGAGTTTTTTGAGGCCTGTATGAGGGAAACAAGGAGGCTGAAGATTATTACATGTAGTCTAAACTCAAACTGCACAACAGTGCTGTAAGGACTCAGTGCAGCCAGTAGATGGCAAAGAAAAGATTTTTTTTTTGCGGGGGGGGGGGGGCGCGCAGTCTCATGTATTCCAGGCTGGCTTCAAACTTGATAATCCTTCCTCCTTCCTCTACCTTTTGAGTGCTGGAATTTCAAGTGTATTCCAACACATTCACATTTAAGATTTTTTTAAATATTTTTTTATATGCATTGGTGTTTTGGTTTCATGTATGACTGTGTAAGGGTGTCAGATCCCTGGAACTGGAGTTACAGTTGTGAACTGGTGTGTGGGTGCTAGGAATTGAACCTGGGTCCTCTGGAGAGCAGCCAGTGCTCTTAACCTGAGCCATCTCTCCAGCTCTGATTTACAAACCTTATAAAAGAAACTTTTCCCTGTACTTTTACTGCATTTTGTGTGTGCAAGTGTGCATGGATAGAGTCATTTCTTTCTACCATGTGGGTCCTGGGAATCCAGCTCAGGCCATGTCTTGCCTTTACCAGCTGAGCCTTTTTTCTTCCTTGACATAGTTTCACCTAGTCCAGGCTGGCCTTGAGTTCAGTGGATAACTGGGTATGACCTTGAACTCCTGAGCCTCCTGCCTCTATCTCACACATACTGGGATTTAGTTAAGATCACATTTGATTTTACTGTGGGGGGGTCAAACCCAAGCCTTCATGCATGCAAGTATTTATCAACTGAGCTACATCCCCAGACCATTTTTTGTTGTTTTGTCCCCCTAATTTTATTTTGTGTATGTTTTGTTTCATACGCATATATGTGCTTGTTGGTTGTGAAACATTATGTGTGCGCTGAGAACCCAGGTCCTTTGCAAGAACAACAAACACTCTTAACCACTCTCCAGCACCCCACCCCCTTTGTTTCTTTAAGGCAAGGTTTCCTGTAGCCCAGGCTGGTTTCAAACTTCCCAAGTAGATGAACTCATGATCCTCCTGCCTCCACCTCCCAAGTATAGGGATTACAGATGTGTACCACCATCCTGGTGCCTTGGCTACCTTTCTGCTGTTGTGAAGAGATGCCATGTTTTTATGGGACTCAGTTCCAGAGGTTGACTTATAAGATTTATTATGTACATAGTGATCTGCCTGCATGCCAGAAGAGGGCACCAGAGCTCATTACAGATGCTTGTATGTAAGCCACCATGTGTCTTGGGAATTGAACTCAGGACCGCTGGAAGAACAGTCAACACTCTTAATCTTTGAGCCAACCCTAGTTCCAGATCGTCATGTCAGGAAGCATGGCAGCAGATAGGCAGGCATGAAGCTGGAGTAGAAGCTGAGAACTTAGATCCTGATCCACAGGCAGAAGGTAGAAAGCTAACTGGGAATGGAGTGGGTTTTTGAAAACTCAGAGCCTGCCTGTCCCCAGTGACACACCTCCTCCAAGACCATGCCCCCTGTTCCTTTCCAAACAGTTTCAACTAACTGGGGACCAAGGATTTAAGCATATGAGTCCATGGAGCCATTCTCTTCCAACATCCACACTGGGGCAGCATTGTTTTATAGTTGACTCATGTATGCATGTGGATGTAGGTCAACTTTAGGAGTCAGTTCCCTCCTCCCCGTGCGTGGGTCCTGGGATGGAACTCAGTCATCAGGCTTGGCAAGACCTCTACTGCTGAACCGTCTCATTAGTTTTTGTTTTGTTTTTCTTCTTAAGACGAGTCTTGGACTGCAGCTTAGGCTAGCTTTGAGCTATGGCAGTCCTTTGGCATCAAACTCCTCTTCCTGAAGTCCTAGAGGTTATAAGCATGCACCACCATGGCTTTTTAAAGTCTTTCTTGTTATTTTTTTTGGAGGGGTGTGATAGTGATCATTTTCATCTTAGGTGAGAAAGACATTCAAATTCCTTAACTTTTACAAAAGACTTAAGAATCTTTGAGATAGACAGGTGGTGGTGACACACCTTTAATCCCAGCACTCAAAAGGCAGAGGCAGGTGGATGTCAGCAAATGTGAGGCCAGCTTGGTCAGCAGAGTGAGTTCCAGGAGAGACAAGGGCCAGGGCTACACAGAGAAACCGTCTCTAAATATAAACAAAAAAGAGTCCTTGAAATAATAGCATGGTGGTGCACACCTTAATCTAGCTACTCATGATGGAAAGCCTAGGAGTTCAAGACTGCCTAGGCAATATAACAAGACCGTGCCTTAAAAAGGGCAGCTAATAGCTTCCTTGATTTATACCACAATCTAACAGGAGCATCTTAAACCAAGAAAATAATAGACTATCCATCTTACCTGACTTCATCTTCTCCAGAAAACGACTCCAGATGTTTTAAAGGTCTTCACTTTGACAAGCAATTAATGGCTATGTCAGTCATTTTGTAACTACTGCTACTGCTGTTTTTGTCTTTCTTTCTTTTTCCCCCCGAGACAGGGTTCTCTGTGTAGCTGTCCTGGAACTCACTCTGTAGATCAGGCTGTCTTGGAACTCAGAGAAATCCACCTGCTTCTGTCTCCTGAATGCTGGGATTAAAGGTGTGTGTGCCACCATGCCTGACTGAGTAAAGAATCTTTACCTGAAGGTAGGAACTTGATTTCTTTGGTAGACTCGAACAGGAGGACACTAAGACCCAGGAGAGCTTGCAGAAGCACAAGGGCTTTATTGGGCTGTGCAGCCTGAGCTGACCTGGAACTTGCTATTTTGCCCACAGTCTTTTCAGTTGTCACAGGCACCTGTTATAGGTGGTAAGCAGCAGCCATTCTACTGATCGCCAGTGTCTGTTGCAGAGTCCATCCCAATAGGTAGCTGCTCTTGGCTTTACCTACCCTAAAAGCACAAGCACCCAACACAGAACCAATTTTAAAAAGTATTAGGTAGGCTAAACCAGATCTGAAGCACTGTAAAATAGCAAAGTAGTGTCCATTTCTGGGAATAAACAAAGACTGCGACATTCAGCTCATGAACAACGTAACTTTAAGTTATTTATTTAGGCCATCTCTTATAAGCAAAGGGATGGAAGATCAGTGTAATGGTCACTGTTGGATGCAAGGAAAGATGAGCTTAGCGCCCCATGCGCTTTCATGGTCCACAAGGAGTAATGGTCCAAACCAGTGCTGTGGTCCCTTGTTGCCTGGGGGAAGGTCCTCTTTACTCATCTTCATAGCCAGTCGGAAGTGGGTTCACATGAGGGTTGTGGAAGAGGGTATGGTTACCATCTCCCCAGGGGAAGGGCTGTGGAATGAAGACGTCAATTAGATAATTCCAGAAAATGCTTATAAATACCTTGGCCATGAACTGCTTGAAACAGATGATACACAAAATCAAAATGAAAATCTGCCCCTTACTGGCACAGTTTCAATGTCCCATAGCTTTTCCCCCTTAAACTTTATTTATGACTGCTCTGTCTTCATGCACACAGAAGAATCAGATTACAGATGGCTGTGAGCTGCCATGTGGTGCTGGGAATTGAGCTCGGGACCTCTGGAGGAGCAGCCAGTGCTCTTAACCTGTGCTATCTCTCCAGCCCCCAATTATCCCACAGCTATTATTAGTGTGCTCTAGCGAACAACTAGGAGGGAGGCCCCTGAAGTAGATGGTAAGAAAAGCAAGGAGAGACGGCTCAGCAGCATGTACTGTGCTACGCTTGAACAGGCCCAAGCTTGGTTCCTAGCACCCAGTTAGGCAGCTAATAACAGTCTGGGCTCTAACCCCAGGGGATCTGAAGCACTCTCTGGCTTCCCTGGGCCTCCACATGCGCATACACATAATTTAAAATAAAATTTTTCTTTTTTTTTTTTTGAGACAGTTTCTCTGTTTAACAGCCCTAGCTGTCCTGGAACTATGTTTTGTAGACCAGGCTGGCGTCGACGTCACAGAGCTCCGCCTGCCTCTGCCTTCTGAGTGCTGGGATTAAAGGTGTGCACCACCACATTCAGCTAACCTACTACTTTCTTTTAAAAACCAATTTATTTGTTTTGTGTATGTAAGGCCATTGTCAGAAGGCAACTTGCAGGCGTAGGTTCTCGCCTTCTACAGAATGGGTCCCAGGACTGAACTTGTGTCCTCAAGCTTGGTAGCCTTTACCTGCTGAGCCATCCTTGGAGCACCAATTTAAACAAACAAAAACAAAAACAAACCAAACCCAGGGTTTCCTTATTACCTAACCTGGAACTCTATATAGAACAGGTTGGCCAAAAACCTACAATGATCCTCCTATCCTCCTGCCTCTGCCTCCTGAGTGCTGTGATTATCAGCATGTATGATTATACCTATCTTTTTTTTTTTTTTTGAGACAAGGTCTCTCATGTGGCCCTGGCTGTCCTGGAAGTTGCTTGTAGACCAGAGATCTGCCTACTTCTGCCTCCCAAGTGCTGGGATTAAAGCCACTTTTAATTACTACCGAGTCATCTCTCCAGCCCCTTCCCATTATGTCTTGCTCTAGGTCAGTGGCTCACAACAATATTTTGGTTTTTTGAAACAGTCCTACTTAGCCCAAACTAATCTCATTTTACAATGAAGCAGAGAATGACTATGAGCTACTGATACTTCCCAGGGACGTGGATTACAGACCTGAGCTACCACCCCAGCGAAGGGGGCAGGATATGGAGAGGGGGCAGGATATGGAGAGGGGGCGGTACCGCCATCTAGTGGCAGAGTCCAAGGCAGGATGCTGTCAGATTCCCTCCCACTCCCCACCAAGGTCTTAGTAAATAGCTCTGGCTGTCCTGAGCTGACTAGGTAGATCAGACTGGAACTCAAGAGATCCATCTGCTTCTGCTCCCAATGCTGATACTGTGCGAGAGTGAGATCGAGGCTCAGGTTCTAAAATCCAACTCTAGTATCAGTTTCTGCGAGGCTAGTCCCATGTGAATAAGGTGACACGGTTTTTAGGGAACAAGACGACACCCTTGTTACATCAGTGACGGAGGGCAGACAACCGAACTGTCTATACGAACAGCCAAGATAATGATAGGCACTGTGAGAGACAAACCGGCAGTCGGGTCGCGAAGCACCTAGCATCACCTGGCATGCCAAACGCCGAATCTCCAAACCCCTTCAGCGCTTGCCACTATCAAAGGACACCCCAAACCTCCACGCTTTCATACAAGAAACGGCTGCTTCTGAACTGCACCAAAACATGAGAGGTGCCATAAATCGGGGAAAATGAAAACCTAGAGGCATTTACTGTGTGACCTTTAAGAAAATTGAGACGTGATTCACACGCTGGCTTCCCTTAAGTAAAACAAGAACAAACAGGATGTTCTGTTTGCGCAAACAGACTTGTAGCCAAGATCCAGAACCCCAAGAGCTTGGGCTGGGGAGTGGGCAGTGAGATAACGGACGCTTGAAGGGCGGCAAAGGCGCAGGGCGTGCGTACCTTGGTCCTGATGCGGAGATGGGGGTAGGCGACGAACTCGGGTCTCTCGTGCTCTTCGTGCCGCGACTTCAGGAAGACGTTGAGCATGCTCACTCCCACCCCGGGCAGCGCCACGAAGTAGGTGAGGGCCTTCCACATGCGAGCTGCGGCGGGGCCACAAAGTCAGCCTCGGCCTCTCCCTCCCGCAAGGCCTCCCGCCAAGGTCACGGCCCCGCCACGTCGCCCGAGAGCCGCGGAGGCCTCATTCCCACCCGAGACCCTGTACCTGAACCCTCCTCGCCGTGGGCGCCACTCGACATGGGCCGCCCCACCCGTGGGAGGGCTCGGCCCAGCAGCCCCGACATCCGAGACCCGCACAGCGACGACACCATCTTGGAACTACACCAGCGCGCCGGAAGCGGAAGTAGGGAAAGGGCAAAGGGGGTGGGACAGAGTTTCCAAACGAAGTCTCCATTGGGCAACGCCTTCCCGACGCCGGCCAGGAACAGCAGTACCTGCGCACATCTGCCATCCTGCGCACTACGGCTTCCTGATCCAGAGTCTCCCGGCGGCCGGAGTGGGACGGCGCATGCGCGCCGCACCTGCGCCCCGCCTTCCTCCTATCTGCTCCCGGCTGGACGTGTTCTCTGAATTGAGCTCCTGCGGAATTCGTGCGGCTTTATATATATATAATATTATATACATATATACATATATGTATATTATATATAATATGTAATATTATATACATATATACATATGTATATATTATGTATAATATTATATATATATATAATATTAATCGCTACCTTCTTTGGAGTCTCTGGATAGGATCTGAAGTGCCGAAAACAAATCACATTGTCGGAAACACCATTTTCTTTCCTCGCTGCCTTCTTATTCTCCTTTCCCAAGGCACCCGACACCCTCGTCATTGTCTCTCTCACTCCTAAAGACAGTTATCACCGTCTTCTGTAACGCCCTATGTAGACTGTAAAGTCCGTGATGCTTAGGTTTTGCCAGCGTTGCAGTCTCAGAGTTACTTTCCTGGAATCGTGCCTAGGCAATTGTGCCTAGCAGGTGCTTAATACAATTTAATGAATGAATGTATGAATCCATGTTTTAATAAGTCATTGGATAGCTCCTGGAACTAGGAATCCTTAACCGTGGAATTGGTGCCCGGAAATCTGGATTCTAATTTCAACTCCATATCCTCAACGTTTGGCCTGTGGTTGTTGCTGTCATTCTCGCTCTCAAATTCCACCGACATCTGTTAGATTTTGTCTATATAATCTTTTTTTTTGACAACTTTGATAGGGTTGCTTTGATAACTTAGGCTATCCTAGAACTCGCGGTCTAGACCAGGCAGGCTGGCCTTGAGCTCACAGAGATCTGCCTACCTCTGCCTCCGACTGCGCCATCAACGCCCAGTGTCTATACAACTTTTTAATTCCTCCTTTCTTCTTTCTTATATCTGTCTAAAAGCCTTCTTAAAGATAAAAGTTAAAAAAGAAAAACTGGTTGCCAGGTGCAGTGGTGCACACCTTTAATACCAGCAGCTGTGTGGAAGATGCATCTGGAATCCAATAGCCTTTCCTGGCCTCTGTACACAACTCGGGAAACACTCGTATAAATAAAATAAAATATTCGCAAAGTATAGTGTTACATTCTTTAAACCCCAATTGCTTGAGAGGCAGAGGCATACAGATCTCTGAGATCAAGGCCAGCCTGCTCTATCAAAGGAATTCTGGGCCAGCCTAGTCTATAAAGCAAGTTTCAGGCTAGCTAGGGATACATAATAGGACCTTGCTCAAATAAATTAAAAAATACATTTCAAAATGCATTCACAGTTTAACAGGCAATGTCAAGGAGGAAAGTGACTATACAGTATGTCTGGAGACACCCCCCCCCACACACACGCAGGGTCCTTATACTTCAGATTAAGAACAGGCAGAGCTAGGCATGGTGGCTCACCCCTGTAATCCAGAAATCCAGGGGCTGAGCAGGGGCTTGTGTGTTCAGAGACTATTAGATAGTCTCCTCATTTGCAAAGCCTTGGATGACTAAATTTAGACAGCCAAGAAAAACAAAACTGTCAGTATAAAGATTGTGTAATCATTTGGTTTGTTCATTTGTTTGCTTTGGTTTTGAGATAGGGTTTCTCTGTGTAGCCTTGACTGTCCTGGAACTCTCTCTGTAGACCAGGATGCCCTAGAACTCACAGAAATCCATCTGCCTCTGCCTCCTAAATGCTGGGATTAAAGGTGCACCACAACCGGCTTTTTTTTTTTTTTTTTAAGACAGTGTCTTACTACATAGCCCTGTCTGGCCTGGAACTTCTATTGTAGATCAGACTGGCCTCAAACTCACAGAGATCCAACTGCCTCTCCCTCCCAAGTGCTGGGGTTAAATGCATGCACCCCACACTTATCAAATGTGTGATATTTTGAGCACTTATCTTGTACTTAAATGCATGTTAGGCGTTTTCTTTTTATCTAATCATGTTTTAAAATTTCATCTTGTTTTAGGCAGGATCTTATATACCCAAGGCTAGCCTCAAGTTTACGATGTAGCCAACCTTGAGCTTTGGTACTCTCAGTCCACCTACCTTGCCCTGCCAACCCAGATTTATTCAGTGCTGGGAATCAAACCCAGAATTTCAAGTGTGGTAGGCAAGCTCTCTACCAAGTGGATCCCATTCCAGCCCATGCTATGCATTTTTGATAAATTGCTTTTCCCACCTCAGGAAATGGTCACCCTTTTCCTGTCACCCTTACTGTAATCCTTAGACCTTCTCTCTAATATTCCATCACCACCCATCTATTTAAAACTTAGTGTGTGTGTGTCTGCTTATCTATGTGTGCACCATGTGTGTGCAGTGCCCACAGAGGCCAGAAGAGGGCATCAGATACTCTGGAACTGCAGTTACAGGCTACTGTAATCCACCCAATGTAAGTGCTAGTAACAGAACCTGGATCCCCTGCAAGAGCAGCAAGTGCTCTAAACTGCTGACCCATATTCTCAACCCTTTATTTTGGTTTAGATAGGTCAGTTTTGGTTTGGTTTGGTTTGGTTGAGTTTTTTAGACAGTGTGTCATTCTGTAATCCAGGCTGACATGGAGCCCCTGGTGTGGCCAGGATGTCCTGGAACTAACTATGTAGCTCAGGTTGATCTTGAACTCATGATAATGAGGCTTGCCTCAGCCTCTCAAGCGCTAGGACTACAGGTGAGAGGCCCTGCAGTAACCGGCTATGTGGGTTTGCTGTCTTCGTTTTTGAGACAGAGCCTCACTATGGAGCCTCTAACTCATAATGCCTTCCAGGGGCATGTGTGTGCCTCTCATCTTCCCTGTTCTGGCCACCATCTTCTCAGAGAGGCCTTCCTTGACCATCTTTAAGCAAAACAACTCCTCCTTACACCAACATTCTATCTGCCCTCCAGCACCTTATCTAGTCCATCACACTTACTGCCATCTGTTATATTAAATATTTATGGGATTAGTGTCTGCCTTCCTCCATTAAACTCCATGGGGGCAGGGACTTGGTTTTGCCTACTGATGTGACCCCAGCACTTGTCCCACGACAGGCCTTCACTGATTGATTGGATCCTGTTAGGTAGCTGCTGTCCTTCAGATCGTGAAACTGAGAGTCTGGGATGTTCAGGGAAACCATCCCAGATGGCACAGTCTTAGGTAAGCAGTGGACTCAGGGAGGCTGGGGCTCCACCTGTTCTCTTAGCCTCAGAGCTACACAGGCTTTGGATCTGGGATTCCCCTCTGTATGCTGAGAATACCATTGGTTAAAAAGAAGCTGTTTTGGGCCTGTGATAGGGTATAACAGAGCTAGGCTGGGGGGGGGGACTAAACTGAATGCTGGGAGAAAGGAGGCGGAGTCAGGAGAAGCCTTGGGCCCACCACCAGAGACAGAGATGTGGGAACCTTGCTTGTAGGCCACGAGCATCGTGGCAAAGTATAAAAATAGTGTGGGAGAATTGTCTGTATTCTGTCAATCATATTTTAATAAGATGCTGATTGGCCAGGCAGGCAGTATAGGCGGGAAAGACAGACAGGAAGTAGGGGTGGAGCAAAGAGACTGGGAGTATTCTGGGAAGCAGGAAGCTCCCTCTGCATTCCTGCACAGACCACCGAAGAGGCAGCATGTAACTTGCCCAGCAGAGAAAGGTACTGAGCCATATGGCTAACATAGATCAGAATAATGGGTTAATATAAACTGCAAGAGTCAACAAGAAGCCTGAGCTAATGGGCCAATCAGTTTATAATCTTATGGAGTCCTGTGTGTGATTTTCCTTGGGAGTTGCTGGCTGTGGGGTACTGGGTGGGACAGAACCCCAACAAGCCGGCCCTCATGTTACATAAAATAATGAAAATGGGTTAAATTAAGATGTGAAAGCTAGCCAATAAGAAGTTAGAGCTAATAGGCTAAGCAGTTGTTTAATTATTAAAGTTTCTGTGTGGTTATTTCAGGGGTCTAGGCGGCGAGGAAACGAACACGCCACCTCCCTACTACAGGCTTTGCTTTAGGGGGCAGAATAACAACTCCCAGGTGCTAACTTGGCCAAGCGCCTGCTGAGCTGATGTGTACATCAGAACAGGGAAAGATTAGCCAAGTCAGTCATGGTTGCTTGTACCTATAGCCCCGGCACAGGGAGGCTGAGGCAGGAGGATGGACAGCTTAAGGGAAATATCAGTTAGTAGAGGCTAAAGAGGATGTGGGGGTCTCAGGGGAGGTGAGGGGGAGATAAAGAGAGGTTGATAGGTGCACACCGTGTTCTCCAGTGGAAATACCACACTGAACCCTCCTAATAGGTGCAGTTAATGTCAGTCAATCAAAAATAATCATTTCAAAATCTTCTGATCTCTGAAGAAATATTTCAGGTCATCTTTGAGAATTGACCAGGCCACTAAATGTCTTCTCGGGACACTTCTGCACATGCTGCCTCTCACTGCTTCCTACTCCCTAGGACCGACTAGCCCCTCTGTGCAGGGAGCTTTCCAAGGCCATTGCCAGGCAGGATGTCCTGGATCTGATGTCATCCTCTCTAGCAGCTGGTGATGTTTACACCCATGCTGGAGCCACTAAGTTGTCTCCTCTGTGCTGTTTGCTGGAACGAGGAGCTGGCAGGTGCACAGCTCCATAGTGGGACGGCTCATGACGGTGGAAGAGGGGTTCGGAGTGACCCTGGCTAAGAACAGAACTTGCTCAGGAGGAAACCATATCTGGGCATCCCGCCTGCTACTTCTACTTCAATTTCTCTCACCTAAGAGCACTTTTTATTCCTGGGCCAATATAATCTACCAAGAGACTAATTCTGGAAGGCATTGAGGCATCTTTCCAGCAGGTCTTCAGGGAAGCAAGGATGGTAGGACCATCACGTTCATCCTTGTGCGACTGAACTGGGCACCGCGAT